GGTAACTTCATTTACTGTATTTACAAAGAAGTCTTTTTAAAAGCCTAATGGTCAGACGGACAGTCAGTCGTGCTTGCCTGAAGTCTCTCTCTCGCTTTATGTTAGTGTGCTACAATCCGGGTTCTTATAGCTTATCGCACGGACGTAGTTGAAAGCATCTGTAACAAACGTGATACGCTTCAGTAATTGCTAGCAGTCTGATATATATATATGTGTGTTTCTTTTAAAATCTGTTTTGAGTAGAGTACGGCGTGTGCGTATCTTAGACGAAGATTGGCGTGTAGTAAGAGTTATATATTTTATATAATTGTGTACATTTGGCTTTAATTTATCTCTATCTGTAAATTGTTTTTTTCCGCTACAGTTTTAAGCGAAAAGTTTTTATAAATTTCAACCGACGAAAACCCTAACTTTTAGGCCAATGAATACTGAATGCTTCCTGCATAGTTACGGACAATTTCAGCATTACAATTACCATCTACTTTATTAAGGCTGGGAATATTTTTCGTTACCTTCTCTATGTCCGTTAAGTGTTAAATTCACCAAGCCTTCTTTTCTCTTTCTTTCTTTTGTCCACTACTTTTAACCGTTGCTTTCTCAGGGTTAATACCCGCTTCTTTGTAGTTCTTACTTCCCTCAAAACTTGCACATATGTCGCATGCTTACACTATGGTATTCTCTACTTGCTGAGATTGACCATTTTAAGTTTTTCTGTTTTTGTTTTATTTTTGTGACAAAACTGTCCAGTTTTCATTCGTTTAAGAAGTTAAATATTAGAGAACTGTTAAGTACAAGCTGCAATTTGTTATATATTTTGAAAATAATTATTGACATTGTGTGGACACCATTGACTAACCCATCAAAAGGCTGCATTTGTTTTTAAAGACAACGACTCTTCAGTAGTAAGAAAGAAACTTTATGGTTTCTCGTTACGTAATCCACTGCGTGAATTTCAAATTTTACAATTTTTAGACAGGCTGCCACCCAAGACTAAATAGATTAGTCTACACTATTATTTTCTCTATTGCTGGCGACGGGAAGGAGAAATATAGTCATGCCTTTTTCTAAGGGCAATTGTCTGAAACTTAACACATCTAAGCCGGAATTTGACATCGGTTAGCTGGTCCCACTTTCCGACATGATATGCGTTACACAGCTTGGAAGTCCACGAGAATGCTATTGTATTGAAAATGGGCGTGCGTGTTGTGTAATAGATTACGGCTCGGTGTGAGAAATCGGAGAGCCGAGTATCGAATTTCAGTCAGTTCGTTATATTCATTTACACGAAAATAACCTTAGGAAAAGGCATGAATCCAACTCTTCCTCCCCCTATCTCAGCTATGCGTTAAATGGCAGTGAAGACTAGGTTCTATAGTCTTAGTTGACAACCATTCATAATTCGCAAACATGACTTGTTGAAATCACACATCCCCCAGGGATAGTGACCCATCCTTGGGAACTCATTAGCCCATGAAAACGGTCATCGATTGAAAATCTTCAGTCGTGTGAGATTGAGCATGCTGCTTGCAGGCGGAGAAACTGTTTGGTGGACGGAGAGTTGCATACTGGACATTTGTGTCCCTAGACAAATGCGTCCCTAGACAAGTGCGTCTCTGGTTAATTGTGTACCTCAGATAATTTTTAAAGTTACCATTTTATTTTTAATGAGTTGTTTAATATAGAAATTTGCAAACCAATAATTTTAATTACTCTAAACAAGCAGAAAGGTATTTACCATAAATAAAAAAAACAGAGAAAAGTTAAATTTCAGTTCACTACAGCAGTGTGTACCATAAACATCAAATAGATTATGGATTATATAGATTATATTTTTATTTGGAAACGATGGCTAAGTTCCGAAAATCAAACACTGGTGGAAAACTATTTTTTGGACGAGGAAAATTATAGCTACCACTATTATAAAAAAAAAAAAAAAAAAAAAAAACGCCAGTAAAACAAAAAAAAAAAACTACTGGTGATGTACAGAGAGAACTTACAACACAGTTAATCTGTCAGTTTATTTCAAACATAAATAAACTTTTATTTTTTTTATTTTATTCCATTTTTAAAACATTTATGATTACTACGTGAGCTTCTTTTTGCAAATTTTATGGTAATTGCCTTTAAAATCTTCAAAAATTATCAGAGGTACTCACTTATTCAGAAACGCATTTGTTTAAGGACGCCAATGTACAGGGACGCAGTTGTCTAGTTCGCAATTGTCTGGGACGTAAATGTCCAGTACGCAACTAGCCTCGAACCAAAACGGTCACATTTTAACGCAGTTTAATTGCATTCTCCCTCAACGACCAGGCCTATTTCACGTGTTAATATTGGGATGGTCAAAGGCTCCCTCAGTTTATTAAGCTAATTGTCTACTTAATATTCGAACGGTCTTTTTGGTCGACCCAATAGAAACGTAGAAATGGAGGAAGCAACTATAATCTGACACGTAGTTATCTGGTGAAATTTCACCGGAACCTGTCTGTGGCTAATGTATAAACCATGTGAGTAATAGTCACCAATTATTTAAATTCATTCACAAGGAAATGGTTGATTTTAAATATAAAGTCTTAGTTGTTCCAAATTTGTGCTTTTTCCACAATTATTCTCTGGATTTATCGATGTGTCTACACATGTTAGCGTTCGTTGAGATACAATCTGTGTAAATGTTGCTATAACTGACATTTATTGTCCCCCATGGGTGCATACGTAGTGTCTAGTGCAAAGACGATCGACTCATTTCCATAAAGAGGCTGCAGGATCCAATATGGCTGCCAGTTTTCTCGTCTTTAAACGTATAAAACTTTACACGTTGTTACTAAAATTAGTCTAATACTAACTTTACACGATTTTATATTCCCATTTTCGAACGCTCCAGTAAGCAGAGGGAATCTGGAAATAAAGAATAAAACAGGATGCCAATTCACAACTGAAACCTATAAAAACCGCCTTTCGCAAATGACACTCTAATAAATACCGACAACAGACCTTAGGGTAAAGTTAAAATTAACTGTTTCCTTGTTAGGAAACATTTGACATTCATTGACCGAACAGCCAGTTCCACTTTCGGTTGAAATGTATAAACATTTCTAATAAAATAATTTTCCTGAAAATAGGCTTCTGAAATACACTGTTATCATTGTTTCCAGTATTAATGTTACAGTGAAACACACCTATTCTATTGTTAATAGACTCTCCCACCTATAATAAGTAGGAGGAGTAGCAGTCGCTCAGTGAGTGAGTCGCTCAGTGAGTTGGTCAGTCAGTCGATGTCGGACGACCGTTAGTCGGATACTAGCAGTAGCGCCCGGTGTTGCCCGGGGATGTAACAGTAAGAGATAGATCAAGTATCGACCATCATAAAGACAAAAAATAAAATTGACAAAGATTATTGTTTAAGGTTGACGGACACGCATGTCTTAATTTTTTTTTTTTTTTTTTTTTTGCGAATTGGTCAAACCCAAACTCAAACAAAAACATTGTTTTCAATCGTTATGAGTCTACCGATTGAATAGAATTTTATTATAAACAATTGTCTTGTAAATGGAATTTTTAAAGCATTCTGAATGTAAAAATAAAGAAACACTACCTGCCAAAAAAAAGTGTAAGTTTTGTTGAAGTCGGTTGAAAAATGTAGGAAATCCGATCCCATATATAAACGAACACACACACACACACACACACACACACACACACACACACACACACACACACAAACAAACAAACAACCTGGGTTTTATAATAAGTATAACTCTATATGAGTTGTACCCCTTTCATTCTGGTGACAGAATCGTATTTTATCGTGTTTTCAAATTGATTTCGTGCAAAAACAATAGTTTTTCCAATTTTTGGTGCTGTCAGAAGCACCGCAAGGTAATTTTACGTAGTCTTGTGAAGTTTTGTTGAAATCGGTTGAAAAATGTAGGAAATCCGATCCAATATATAAACACACACACACACACACACACACACACACACACACACACACACACACACACACACACACACACAATCTGTGGTTTATAATAAGTAAGATTAAAGTATCAGCCACAACAACTAGATTACTGCATCATTAACTATTATATCAAGTTGCTAACGTTTTGTACGTCCAACCTTTTTTTTAGGACCGACTTAGTGAAATACAAACCTCCACTGTGAAACTATTCTGTAACAAATCGGTGGTTCCTTCCTAACCTTTGATTTGAAGTAATGTCATTATTTTCTCTTTGAGTTACATGTGCTATCCATTTCAGTTGTTGGTGCTGTTCCTATGTACAGTATATAGCCGAGTATAGTGCGTGTTTTTATAGTCAGTTTTTCTTTTACGCGAAAAATAAGGGGTGGCAGGTAATTGTTTTGAAGAGATTACATATCATGAATTTCGATGACCTTTTGTGCTATACACAGGTTGAACGGGTTAAAACTGGCCCTAACCTACATGTTATACCTAATTTCTTACGGTAGGTCTGGCTAATGCATGTTAGGCGAACGTTATTATGCCATAAGATATTCCATTCGCAGAAATGACCGAGTTTTTTTTATACGTATTTTATTTGGGTTAGCATGCTAAACCAGATATTATACCCACAATGACGTATCTCCCAGCGCATATATAAGCACAAATGTGAAGAAATAGGCTCTACTATATCCTAAACAAATTGACTAATCTAAAGTGTAATAGGAGTGAAATCAAAGGTTAGGAAGGAACCACCGATTTGTTATAGAATAGTTTCACAGTGGAGGCTTGTATTTCACTAAGTCGGTCCTAAAAAAGGTTCGACGTACAAAACGTTAGGAACTTGATATAGTAGTTAATGACGCAGTAATCTAGTTGTGGTGGCTGATACTTTAATATCCGACTAACGGTTGTCCGGCATCGACTGACTGACCAACTCACTGAGCGACAGCTACTACTCCTAAAGTGTAATTTCTTCTTTCAAACCCCCATGGCCACTGATTAAGGAGGGCTATGCTTGTTGCTATAATGTCATAAAATAATGTTAATATCGAAAAATCAATTAATTTTTCATTACTTTTCTTGTTACTTTTCTCTTGTTCTTCCATTTTGCAAATTATCTTTCTTTCTTTCATTCTTCCGTGTTTCTATCTTTCTTTCATTCAATAATCTGTTTCTTTCTTTCCTTCAAACATTCTTTCGTCTTTCATTCTTTTTTCATTTCCTCGTCTTATACTTATACGTAATATGTAATATGTTAGATTTTCTTGTTTAATTCATTTTTCAATCATTATTTCCTCTTTCTTTTATTTATTTTTTCCTTGCAACTTCTTTTTTCTTTCGTTTTTTTAACATTTTTTTTTCTTTCTTGAATTCAATTAGGAAATTCTTTCCTTCATTGTATTGGCATTCTTTTTCCATTCATTTTTTGTAGATTCTTTCTGCCTTCCTTTATTTTTTCCTTCCTTTTTTCTTTCAATGTGTGTCTTTCTGTCTTTCGATATTTTCTTTCTTTATTGTTTCTTTAAATCATTTCCGTCTTAAATCATTCTTCAATCTATCGTACTTTCTTTCTTTCAGTCAATGCTTTCATTCTATCTTTCTAATTTTTTCTTCCGTCTTTCCTTATTTCAGTCATTTTCAGAATATTTTTTTCTTTCTTTTTACTGTTAATCATTTTTCAATCTCTCGTTCTATGTTTGTTTGTTCTTTTTCTTTCTTTCTTCCTGTCTTTCTTTCAAAAAATCCTCAGTCATTCTTTCTTTTAATAATTCTTCCATATTTCTTTATTTCTTTCTTTCGATTAATTTTTCTTTATTTTTTTCTTCCTTCTTTATTACTTTGTTACTTTCTTTATTTCCAAAATTCTTCCCTCTTTCTTTCCTTTTCCTTTCTTTTCTTTTCGTTTTTTAATTATTCTTCCATATTTCTTTATTTCTTTCATTCAATCAATTTTCTTTCTTTCTTTCTTTCTTTCTTTCTTTCTTTCTTTTTTCTTCTTTCTTTCAGGTATTCATCCCTTTTTCTTTTCCTTTCTCTTTCTTTATTTCTTTTAATTATTCTCCCATTTTTCTTTTATTTCACTCTTTTATCCATATTTCTGTCTTTTCTTTTCTGGATCAAATTTCTTCTCAATCACGTGAGAAGAACGATTTCTAAATAAGGCGAAATCACCTCTGAAAATAATTGAATGCTGTTGGACTCAGTTTCTGATTAAATTTGATTAATTATCAATCGGGTCTTTTGCTTTAATTGTTGAAACTTTTCGAGAATTTTCTTTTTTTCTTTCATTTCTTATTCTCACTTTTTCTTTCCTTCAATTATTTTTGATTCGGTTGTTGGAATGATTGATTGACAAATTTTTCGAAAGAAATAACTAAAGAAAAATAGAAATATTTATGGAGGAGAACAGACGACAAAGGAAATAATTCGTTACACGAAAAAAAAAATTAAATGTTATTATAAATAGAATGTCAAGTATGTTGAGATATATTGAAATATTTGCGATTACCACCACCACCACCAACAACAACAACACCACCACCACAATAATAACAACAAAAACAACAGCAATAATAATAATACCAATAATAATAATAATTAACATAATAATAATAATAATTATCATAATAATAATAATAAGTAATAATAAAAATAATATTATCCTAATAATAATAATTATTATTATTATCCTAATAATAAAATGATGATATATAATAATTACAATAATAATAATAGTAATAATAATTATCATAATAATAATAAAAATAATAATAATACATAATGATAATAATGATAATAATAATAATAATAAACTACTAATAATATTCATCATAATAATAAAAATGAAAATAATAATATATAATAATAATAATAATAATAATAATAATAATAATAATAATAATAATTATTATTATTATTATTATTATTATTAATAGTAGTAGTAGTAGTAGTAGTAGTAGTAGTATTAGTAGTAGTAGTAGTAGTAAGGAAAAAAATCTTGAAATGTAGCCAAAACAACGCACCATAACGTGCCTTAGGTCTTCCCACAGATTTGGTAGGTCGTGTGACCATAGAAGAAATCAAAATAAAATGATAATAATAATAATAATAATAATAATAATAATAATAATAATAATAGTGAATGCATAAATAAAACTCGACGTAGCCTAGAAATATCGCGGTGATATCAGGCAGATATATATATATATATATATATATATATATATATATATATATATATGAAAATTTTTCAGAGTTAACCTGTAGAAAAGACAATATTTATAAATATAAATGACAAAAGGAAAACTGTCAGCAATAACTACAGTTTCCCTATTGTCATATATATATATATATATATATATATATATATATATATATATACGCATGTATATGTGTGTGTATTTATGTGTGTGTATTCGCATTCGTAGGGAACATATTAACTGGCCTTTACTTTTTTTTTTCCTTTTGCATATGGCTACAGGTCTAATAATCGGACAATGTTCTGCTTTTTGACTGACTTTTCTTTGAGTGAAAATTCATCTTTTATTGACTCGCAGGTTGAGAAATGACTCCAAATGTATTTTTTTTTCTTTTCCTTGTCACTGTCCCTTTGTATGATGAAATCCTTCATAGCGTTTCCGACAAAATGTCGTTTGGCGTAGTATCTACTCTATAAAACTTGATAACTATCACTCCTATTGGTGTCAAAAAGTTAAGCTTTTGTCGAATGACACTTTGTGACTGTCTCTCAACATGTAAGGAATCGGAAAGTTTATACCATTTTAAATTGCATTTTTCCTTATCTTTGATTGCATTTTAAATCTCTTTGACTTTACTTAACTTTAATTCTTTCATTTTAATTGCTTCGCTTTCCTTTCCCTTCATGTTTTTTTGTGGAATTGCCCTCAGTATTAAAGTCTGATATTTCCCCTGGTGGTATTCATCGCGACTTATATAGTAAGTTAAAACTTAGTATAGTCAGTGCCATGTCTATACGCATATGCTACCCCACTGAATACAATACTCAATAATAAACTCTTTAACCATGAATATATGGATATAATCCCACCCCCATTATCTCATGGGCAGAAGGAGTGTTCTGGCCTTGTTCGACTGTCGTGCTAGAGCTGGTAACTTGAACAAAATTACCCCTTGGCGGTTAAGAATAAAACGTTAAATTTTAGGAATATCAATGTTTACGAACAAATTTTTATACCCTTCGGCCGTCACCCGGGTCAACAATGGCCGCATATTTCAGAGTGGAACCAGTCAGGGGCCGAAAAATCTGTCACTGCAAAAAAACTCTCCCAAAATCGAAGAGACACTTGGTCACCAAACCCGGACTATTTCCAACCTTGGACCGAGTGACTCAATGCCATATCAACTAATAAAACGAACGAAATCTGCACTGGAAAATTTGCAACTTCTACGGGAAGGAAACTGAAAGAAATTGGTATGAACACCATCCAGACCCGGTTACGGAGATAGGACCTGTTACAATTTTATGGGACTACTCAATACGCACAGACAGAACAATCAAATCTAATCGCCCAGACATTGTTATTAGACAGGGCAAACAAAAAATGCATCTTTATTGATATAGCAGTCCCTGTAGACTGCAATGTATCTTTGAAAATCTTCAAAAAGCTATCAAAATACAAGGACCTTGAAACTGAAATATCGGAAATATGGCACATGGGTACATCAACAATCCCTGTTGTAGTTGGAGCCCTCGGATTGGTTGGAAATATTACAACAGACTCATTGAAGAGATTCCTGGAAGCCCATGCCTTAAAGAAATACACAATTTGTTCTCCCACACCCTACGAAGGAATTTATCGATGTAAAATATTTTTGTTGTTCCTCTTTTTTTTTTAATTGGTCAGTGGAAAATGTCATGATGCTATATCTGACCCTAGGCTTCTGGGCGGAATGCGGAAATAAATTGTACACACCCGAAATCAAAGGAAATCATTATTTAAACATATATTGTTAAATATAACAGACAATGAATGTCTATTATGTCTGATCATGAGCCGTTCTAATGGTCGTATATTTGCTTTCATTTCGGGTGAAAATAAATAAAAAAAAATTGTCCAAAATTTTGATATTTCTTATTAAATTGGTCCTTGATCTAAGCTTTCAGCTCACACGTGCCAGATGGGTCATTCAGCGATTCATTTTTGAAGAATAAAATATTACCAGCAATAGATTCTTTGAAGAATTAAATATTAACAGAAATAGGTTTATGATGGAAAAAATATTACCAGCAATACATTTAAAAAAAAAATAAATATTACCATCAATAAAAAATTTGTCGGCATTAAATAACCCATTGAGGCTGATATGCCGTAAAACAAAACAAACCAAAACAAAACAATCTAATTCATTATTTCTATAATATATAACTTTAATTATATATATATATATATATATATATATATATATATATATATATATATATATATATATATATATATGTGTGTGTGTGTGTGTGTGTGTGTGTGTGTAAAATATATAGAAAGTAGGAAAGAACTCGTGAGGTAAATAATCCAAAGTTCTTTAGCATTTTGTTATTATTTTAAAAAATAGTGCTCGATACAAAGAAGAGCATACATATAATTATAATTATTTATCTAAAAAATATGATTCCATCGCTACATAAGAGTTCTGATGTTTCAAAACAAGAGCCGAAAACTTCAATATAATTCAAATAATTATATTGAAGTTTTCGGCTCTTGTTTTGAAACATGAGAACTCTTATGTAGCGATGGAATCATATTTTAAAAATAATATATATATATATATATATATATGTGTGTGTGTGTGTGTGTGTGTGTGTGTGTGTGTGTGTGTGTGTGTGTGTGTGTGTGTTCATTAATACAAAGTTTCGGATATATTCATAACTGCTGTGAATTAGATCGACATTAAAGCAGTGGTTCCAACCGATTTGGTGCCATGCCCCACTTTGGAATTTCTCAGTTTCTGGTGTCCGCCCTGTAATAGTTAATCAAAATTTTACTGCAATTCACGAGAAGGAAGCTTAAAATGCCGTTAACTTGGTCTCTAAACAAGCCTCCAAAGACCATGGCGTCCATGAAATAGAAAAATTAAACAAGCAAAAAGACAGTTGAATATATATAGTTTTAAACCATAATAAAGAACTGAAAGGTAGAAATATAAAATATTTGAATGAAAGCTTATTCTGTAATAAACTTTGACCGTTTTAATCATGAAATAATAGAGCAAAATGAAATTTGAGTGCACTTTGATATAGTAAGCTGAAGAGTGCACATCTTACGCCTGCCCCACCAAAATATTACCATGCCCCACTGGTGTGGCAGGCGCTCCACGTTGGGAGTCATTGCATTCAGTTTTTCTCTGAAGGAGAAATATTTTTTTTTAAATTATATTTTTAAATGAAGAAATGCTAATCCCACTATCATCTTTGTTTTATTATACCAAGACCTCAGATTCAAAGTGTTTTTTTTATTATGTTTTTTAAGTGAAGACATGCTAATCCCCCTATCATCTTTGTTTTATTATACCAAGACTTCAGATTCAATTAGAGTGTTTTTTTTATTATGTTTTTTAAGTGAAGACATGCTAATCCCACTATCATCTTTGTTTTATTATACCAAGACTTCAGATTCAATTACAGTTTTTTTTTTAATTATATTTTTTAAATGAAGAAATGCTAATCCCACTTTCATCTGTGTTTTAATATACCAAGACTTCAAATTCAATTATAGGACAATATTTTTCCCAATGAAGAAACCATTATTTTTTGCGCATTTCTAACGCAGATATATACGCCTATGTTCTTCCGTAATGAAAATGGCGGAGGCACCTTCAAGCAAAAATCATGTTGAACATATTTAGTAGAGCGGCTCACCTTATGATGAACCATATCTATTGAGACCAACTGGTCGGAAAATGTTGTCCTTTCCTTTTCTATTCTATCCCTAGTTATCTTAAACGACGTTTTTCATTCCTGGTTTGATACAATGGTTCACAGAAAATTGAGAAAGTGGCATTTTTTAAAGTTTTTTTTTTTTTTAATTATTTAGCAAGCTATCATCGCAAAATAATCTCAACGCCCAACAAGTATTAACACTAAAAATCAGTTGGTCAGGTGTTAGAAAAAGATATCATTGTAAA